GCTTTCCTGTGTAGGGTGGCCAGAAAATAACGGAGGTTTCATATGGCAGCCGAACAGACCCTCACCTCCGTTTGCTGGCTTGCACCCCAAGCTGGTAGAAATGCCTCCATTAAACCAGCAAAGCAGCCCATGGGAGAAGGGATGTGGAGGATCTAATACAAGGAGTGGTGGAACAACCCTCATCTCCCAAGAGCAGCAATGCCATGGGGACGCTTTGAAATGGTTGCCCAAGAGGTGCCCCCAGCGGTCTTAACAGCATGTAAAATCTTTGCAACAAATACCACATCACCCCTGGGCTGTCTGCTGCATCAGGTCCTCTCCTGGCTACGGCGCAAGCACTTTTGGATGTCATTGGAAGGCGGCTCAAACGTTTTTGTACATGAGACCTCTGACAAGCAGACCTTTGAGGGTTATTTTTCCTCCAAACCATCCCATTCTTAGCAATGTCAGATGCTACTTCCCATAGCGGATGGAGAAGGGTTAACCCGGCCGGGGGGTTGCTGCAAGCACTGCAATTCACCGTGTTCCCTCCAGCACTGAGTGTTCTCTTCCCAGCAGTTACTGGCTTGAGAGAGAATCAAACTAATTACCTTAGTAATTACTAAACTAATTACCTCTCTAATTACCGAGAGTCTTTGTTCACAAGGAGCAGACATTCTTGCAGAGGAGCCCTGGCTCAGCGCCCCATGCTCTCCGGGAACTTGCCTGGCTCTTTTACAATGACTTGAAGATGCAGGTCCTCTTCAGGCCACGGTCCTCCTCACACCATATTCAGGATATCTCCCTCTTCCTCAGGCAGGGGTAGATGCTGATCAAGCTCCTTGGCTGGCACAGTGACCGTTTTGCTGCCAGGCAGACTGTGGAAGGGCACAGTACCTGTGCCACCCATAGGTTTCTCTGGTGGGAATATCCTTAGCACAATGCTGTGGGATCACCACCACACTGATGATCCAACGAGAGACACCCTTTCCTCCAAGCCCTACTTGACATTGCTCCCTCCGATGAGAGCAAACGGGGAGGTGACTTGAGATGGCAGACATTCCTCTCCAGTATAGAGCTGGAAACAGCAGGGTGTTCACCCAGCAAAACCCAACGTGAACATCACCATCAACTTACATCCCCTCCCCAAGCTTACTCCCTCTTTGTTTTCCAGACCTCTATTTCAGTCTTGCCTTGGGCTCTCAAGAGCCAGGGTCTGGTAGTCACTCGCCACTCTTCTGAACTTCAATGTGACAGTGGGTGCTCAGCCCTGGAAACAGCCCCCAGCTCTTTAAGGAAGAATCATTGTCCTTAAAGCAGGAACACAAATGGTTTCATTAATGCTGATCGTGACCTGGAGATGATTTCATATGAAGAGGTGTTAGAGCCTGAACACAGAAAGGACTCTCATGGCTCATTGGGGTGTATTAAGAGGAGTGTGGCCAGCAGGTCGAGGGAGGTTCTCCTCCCCCTCTACTCTGCCCTGGGGAGACCCCACCTGGAGTACTGTGTCCAGTTCTGGGCTTCCCAGTTCAAGAAAGATGAGGAACTCCTAGAGAGACTCCAGAGGAGAGCAACTAGGATGATAAAGGGACTGGAGCACCTCCCCTACGAGGAAAGGCTGAGAGAGTTGGGCTTGTTCAGCCTGAAGAAGAGAAGACTGAGAGGGGACCTTATCAACACATACAAATATCTTAAGGGCGGAAGTCACGAGGATGGAAGCAGTCTGTTTGCAGTGGTGTCCAGCGACAGGACTAGGGGCAATGGGTGCAAACTGAAACATAAGAGGTTTCAGTTGAATATGAGGAAAAACTTCTTTACTCTAAGGGTGACGAGGTCCCTTCCGACCCTTACGATTCTGTGATTCTGTGGCTGTCGAATGGACGCCCACCTTATGCATGCCCTCTCTTGTGCTCTTCTTCCACAGTCCCCTTGCTTGCGTCTTCGGCCAACTTCCTAAACGCAGTGTCAGCTCAACACAAACCTTTGCACATGATGAACTGACCAGCTGACAAAATCCAATTCTGCAGCTATTTGCCTGCAGGTGAGGACACCGAACGCAAAGCTGCCTCGCTCTGTGATGAACGGCTGGTTTTGATCAGGGATCTTTAGGCGCTCATAGAATAGAAAGATGCATATAACGAAAAGACTAGAGATAATCGGTTTGCCTTGCCCAAACACGATCAGGATTCGCAGCCGGAGGGAAGACCTTGCAACGGTTTGCAGAGAAGAATATTGTCTAGAATTTCTGTTCTTGTGGAAAGGAAAACAAAAAGGATAGAAAAGGGAAAGGCTTCCCCTCCTATCACTTCTTCAGCTTGAGAGGTGAGATGTAACTCCTTCAGATGGAGTCCACCTGAAACACCATTCCCCTCTACATTCCCTCAAAAAGGGCACAGGATCTGAAGGAGAACTCGCCATCTGAGCTGTAAAATTTATCCCAACCCGTAGCCGTTTCCATGTTAAGGCTAATTCCAAATATCTGTTTAAAGTTGCAATGCAGGGATAGCCTAACAGGTCAAAAAAAAAAAACCGTCAACACTGCGATGTTACGAGATCTGTCTCATGCACGACTCCTGAGGAAACGGAGTCTGGAATTTGAAAGAGCCTAACACTGCTAAATTACATGAGAGTAGGATAGCAGTATTTTGACACCACTCAAAAACTTGTGATTTGTTCCACAGACACTGAGCACAGAACAACGAAAAGCTTTGGTTTCGCTGTTACAAAACTGCTTTGCCATTGAGAACCCCAGGTAAAATTGCCCTTTGGTTACCGCCAATCAGAGCTTGTGAATCACAGAATCCCAGAATCGCAAGGGTTGGAAGGGACCTCGGGAGATCACCCAGTCCAACCCCCCTGCTAAAGCAGGCTCTCCTAGAGCATGTTACACAGGACATCGTCCAGGAGGGCTTTGAATATCTCCAGAGAAGGAGACTCCAGACCCCCCCTGGGCAGCCTGTGCCAGGGCTCGGGCACCCTCAGAGTAAAGAAGTTTTTCCTCATATTCAACTGAAACCTCAGTTTGTGCCCATTGCCGCTTGTCCTGTCGCTGGGCACCACTGGGAAGAGTCTGGCTCCATCCTCGTGACTTCCACCCTCAAGATATTTGTAGGTGTTAATGAGGTCCCCTCTCAGTCTTCTCTTCTTCAGGCTGAACAAGCCCAAATGACCAGCAAGAACATCTGAAATCAGTCTCTACCATGGGCAGAGAGTGTCATGCCTTTATCTGTCTGTCATTCCTAGAGAGTATCATCCCTGTCATCCCTTCTGAGATCAGGACCCACGAAGCTGAGTTCAAACTCTCAGTTTGGCAGAGAGTAAAAAGAAAAGAGAAAAACAAGAAAATTCAAAGATTTTCTATCTTGAAATGAAGCTACAAGGCAAGTCTTGGCTGGAAGAACATCGTCCCCAACAGACTGGACCCAGCACTTTTCCTCCTTTCCCCCAGTACCATAAGCAGTAAGCTGCAGACACACACTCCTCTTGCTTGCGCTTCTTCAGATCCTATGAACCTTGCTTATTTTTATTATGTTTTTAAATATCATCAGTCCAGTTTCAAAAGAAGATATGGCAAATGTCTCTATTTTAGGCAGACCTACTGCTTCCTTGAGCTGAAATGTCCAACAAAACCTCTCAACTCGGTTTTCGAACGAACAGTGTCCTGCTTGATGTCCATACCAGCAAGTGGGGAGAAGGAAGAAGTCAAAGACTGACAAAGGCCTAGGATGCAGGCACACAGAAGGAGGGGTGGTAAAGGCAGAAGACATGGCAAACTGAAGCTCACTCCAGAAACGTCCAGAACTTTTGCTCTACTTTAAAGGCAAAAGCTGTCCACAACGTGGACAATTTGAAGTCTACACCCTGTTTGCCACCATCAGCATCCCCCAAGCTCAAGCAACACATGCTCGAGATGTCGCTACCGATGATACAGAAGATGTTTAAAGAACACAACATCTCAAATGAAGCCCGAAGCACAGTTGGAACAAAGCAAGCAAGACTGACTCCCATTGCTCAAGGCTGTCAGGATGGGAAACCAATAAACATTTGGCAATAACAGAGACCTTCCTTCCCGACATAGCTCTTCTCCTGATTTTACAATCATCTGGCCTTAAAAACGTCTGCTTTTCCTCTATGCTGCATTTTTCTGCCAATTCTAAGTCTGGCAAGGATGGATCTGCCAACTTCTTGGCTCTCTGTTACAAAAGAGAACATTATAAAGGAGAATTTGTGAGTTAGCTGATTTGTAAACACTACAGCAAGTCACCATGTAAACATGTCGCTTACGCCCCTATTATTTCTCTCAAGCAGTTTACCTGGCACCTGACGTTGAACTCCAGAATCTTCCTCTCCTACCGATACTACAGTTGCTTCACATGTAAAAAAGCCCAGCTTCTTTTCATAGCATTAAAAAAAAAAAAATCCTTAATTAAACAGTACTCACCAAGCATCTTGATAATTAGAATAGGAGAATCACTGGCAATATTTTGAATATGAATGAGATCCGCAGGTGCACTCGCAGTTGTACAGTAGGACGCAGTTCAAACGTAGCCAATTAGAGAAACAGAACAGGTAAATAAATAGCAGAAGCTCTAGACACATTGCTCATTTGACACCGTTACGATCACTATTGCGTAAAAACCTTTTCTGAGATTGCTTGATAAGACGAATGCGGCGGTCGTTATCTGAACAAAAAGAAAAATTAAGTGAAAGTGATTACTTGCGTAAAGATGGCTTTAAGCTTTGGGCGCCACACGCCCTTTCATTCACAAGTACTTTCCAAGAAAGGAAGCTCTGGTGGTGCATGAATCACAGCACACTATCACGTGGGAACCTTTTAGGTTGCTGTGATGGAAAACAGTTTTATGGAAGTGCGGTTCCTGAAATCAAGGTTGGTTATGCATAAAAGTCTACGCTTTAAAGCTTCAGCAATAACATCTGCTGGGAAAACATGATTGACACAGCAGAGGGAACACCATCCGCCTCTGAGAAGTGGAAAGAGAGACAGACTGAACCATCAATCTTGTGCATAAAATATATTTATTGTTGGTACAGAGCGAGGCATGTTCGTCAGTACTTGATAGGAGTGAGGAGCACAACAGAATCATTTCACGTAAATAAAGGCCGTGTTACATCTTAAGTGTTGGATCATTAACACCATTCCAGCAGAAGGCCTGGAGAGAGACTTCATTAAGTTAACATAATTTGTCAAATAAGTTAAAGCACAATTTACGTCATTAAACATTGTAAGGGAAACTTTAATATGAGCAACGAATACGGTGAGGAGCAACGGCTGAGTGGCTCACGAAGTACCGCCACGTCCCAGCACGCCAAGCGTTACATACCCGTGCCTTTGACAGGGAGAAGTTTTTCAGGAGATTCTACAATGAAATAGCAGCATTTGAAGGATATTTCCCCTTTCTAAGGTCAGTGAAAGGTTCTTTTCTTTTCCATCCTTCAATCACCAATAAGTGGATTTTACTAAGACTGAACAGTATCTTCGGATGTGTGATTTCTGATGTAATAAGATACAGGTCTTGGCTTTTCAAATGGTCACACTGATTGAGCCGTGATGGCTGTTGCTCTTGAAATGGCTCTTCCAGTTCTTCTCTTTATTGGTCTGCCCTATAAATGGGCTGTCATATCATTCTTGGGAAAAAATGCTCTTCTGCTGAAATTAGAGTTGATGGTCTTGTGCTTGATTTGGACAGTGCCTTTATCCTCCTCTCCCAAGCATGCTCTGCTAAGAAAGTGGTCAGGGGGGAAGGGAAGAAAGAAACACATATTTCAATAACTGAGTTACTCCAGAGACGTTTGGCTACAGTTCCTTCTTAGGAATTGCAATTTTTAAAATTAAAATGTAGAAAAAGAAACATTGTCAACATACACATCATCACAGAGGCGAGTCGCAGAGGCATGATAAAGCTATTTGAGGACTCAACAAGCCAGCCATTTGGAGGCCTGAAGAGCTGCAGGAACGATTCCTTTTCATCCATCAGCTATCGTGGCTCTAGTCGTGCTATGGCTATTAAGGAAATTAAAAAGTCTGACCTTAAAATAAGATAAATCCTGTTCCCAGCAATTACATACTCAAGGAAATATATCCTGAAGTCATACACCACTATCTCCCATCCCCACCTCCTTCCTGTGTTGAGTCATAATCAAAATCTCGACAGTCTGAACATGTTGCACCAACCTTGTGCTTCATTAATCACCTCCTGCGCACAACCAGGCCACCAAGAGCTAAAAGTATACAACTGTCAAGTAGTCCAAGGGTTACTCCTCCTGCCACACCAGAGAGCTCTGCCACCAAGGTCTTGACTCTTCAGAGAGGTCCTGGCCTCTACCATGAAAATACAGACTTGCAAGGACAGCATGTAGGGCTCTTCTGAGAACTTCCTACTGCCATGATCTAGAAATAAAGGGTCTGCAGAAGCCAGCATGTATGGATACTACTTGTCTAGATCCGTAAGGAGAACAGAAAGCGGGATCTAATAGGACACTGACAGGCTAGGCAGCAAAAGCACGCTGGAGGCCATCTATGTTCACTGGAGGACTATGACGCTGACTAAGGCAATCTATTGTTCTTGCCTACAAATTCCACGAAATGGGGAAGACAGTAATTATGAGTCTCCTTGTAAGAAATGGTAGGAAGTGATATGATAATTTTTAGGGCTCATGTAAGGAGCAAACCCAAATGTAGACCTTGAAATCTTACAGGAGACCTACAAACAGCTGATTCAAGTATTTGAGCAGCAGTATCTGGCCAGGCAGGGCACATCATTGTCTTGCAAGTCAGGATTGTCAGAGTCACAGAAGTTAGGGCTCGGGAAAATGAAAATATGTCACGTATGTCTTCAACCAAATTGTCACAGTATTTCTAAAAATAACCTGGTGAACCAGTCATGTAGATCAACCAGTATTTCTGCAAGGATGAAGAGGTCTACCAAGGAGCAGAAGAGTGTGCATATGAAAAGATGGTAAAAGTCCTTGTGATCACAAATATTCTCCAGAATCCATGGTAGAGAAGTACACGCTGACAAAAGGAGTCAGTTCTATGCTACCCAGGTGCTATTACAAATAAAAATATGGGAAACTTTTATTAGTTGACAAAATATCCAATTTGAGTTTGACAGCATCCCCACGGAGATTTCTGTAAAACTGATGAAGGCTACGTTACCTGAAAGACTCTTTTTGCAGAAAAACTTACAGAAACTTGCTCGAAGCCATCACTGGGCTGAATATTAACTTTCCATAAATTTAACACTGCGTAAGTTAATGCAGGAAATTCCCAAAAGATCTGAGAAAAATCGTGTTACTTTTATTTAGTGTCCTAAGGAAAGAAATTGCAGGTATTTGTACATCACATGCCTATTTCTGCCCACAAAATTTTGTCTTCAGACAATTGGGAGTGTCCCAGGGCTTGGGTTAGTCTACATTTTGGGGTTTTTAAATGTTCTTTACTGACTCTTTCCCTTTATCATCACCTACAAATTCACTTCATGTGTTTAAATTTTTTTTCTTGTGTTTTTTTTGTTACACCAACATAGGTGTGAAGGGATCCTGGTCTGACTCTTCCATAATAAACTTCCTTCAATCAAGGTAGTGTTAAATGGGGAGCATAAAAGACAACCCCTTTTTATTATGTTTCAGTTCAGTGTTTCCAGCTACACTAATTTTACATATTTTTCTATTAGATTGGAAGATGGTATCTAGTAAAAATACTGGAGGATGAGGTTAAAATATGGTTTTATTCTGCCTAGGATGCATGATTAAGGACCACTCTATCCTACAAATTAAAGTAATGGTTACACGGCTGACGGATAACATTTTGTAGCCAGGCTGTCAGACACCAGCAGCTGTTGGCATCATTCTTTGAAGTACTTTTAAATCCCACCTGCCGGCAGAGGCTGGCATCCCTCTGAAATTCAATGGTCTCATAGGAAACTATTGCACAGACTTCATTAAGCGATAGTCTAGTTGTATTTCCATATAGGAAATTAGGACTCCCTGTAGCCCAGGGAAAAGAGAAGGTAAAAAAAAACAAAACCAGGTTATTTTAACAGCCACCTTGTCCATATCGGTGGACAGCAGACTGGGATAAGCAATAAAAATGCCACTGGATGGTCCCATATGGTGACTGGTCTGCCTGGAGTTGCTTCAGCAGTGGGAGTACAAATACACGCCACAGACAATCCTAATATCGACCCCTTAATGGCTCCATTAAGTAGGTTTTTCTCTCCATTACTATTATAATAAAATGCAAACATTAATAATAGAGTTTAATTTATTTCACTAGCTTCTCATGACTTTGGGAAAAGATTTAAAGTGACAATATACAACAACGTGTCAAACTCGTCTGAATTAACAGCTCTCCGGGCCTTTCTAACAAGGGGAGAAAAGGACAGATAGAGACATGAGATTACAGACAGGATGAGAAATAAGGAGCATACAGAAGAGAGGGTGAGATAATTATAAGCAAGATAGGAAAGAAAGAGGAGTCAATAAATTCAATTTATGAAAAGCACAGAGTGTGCTCAGCCTGAGCACAAGTGCCTCGACTCACCGCCAGGAAATCGGATTAGTTAACTTATTTGGTTTTCAATATCTTGGTCTATTCCCTCTAGCAAATTTTCTTCTTTGTTTGTTTCTTGTAGCCAGTGTCAGTTAACTTTTTCATTTCTGAATCTGGTATTTATCCCACTCCTCTTGTCTCCCAAGCAAGTAGGTAATTTTGCAGTGTTTTATAACAGCGTTTAGGAATTATTTCAAAATAACTGTTTTGTCTGGACCTCTGGGCAATCAGTGAGTAAAAATAATTACAATTACAGCTGCAACACATGGAGGATGAGCTACAGAGGACTGATGTTCATTATGAAAAACAATTGTTCCTGCTTGCAAATATTTCCATCATAAAAGGCTTCTCTTCCTCTGTCATCATAAGAGAGAAACCTCTCTGAATTCTCATCTTGAAGCATGTGTGCAAGAGAATGAGAAGCATTTAGGAACCACTTTTAACTACTTGACAGGTTTGGTTGAAGATCTTCAAGAAAAAAGGTGTTTAAAAGGGTTCAAAAACCTAATGCTCGTATTTATGCAATCTCCTTTTCCAGCACCTTCAGAACATGAATTAATTCATCCTCATCAGAGTCTTTTGAAGAAATTCCTATCAGATACAAACTTTAGTTATAGCTAATGTATCAGTAATTACTCTCAATTTTCTAGTTACTTTTAAAAATAAGATAGAACTATAAATACAGTAAATTAGTGTTCCAGATGATGCAAGCCATGGTGAAAATCTAGTTCACTACATAACAACCTGATATTACTCATTAGCTTTTTTTTCTAAAATGTCTCAGAAACACCCATGGTCCAGTAACTTCAGACTGGATTTTGGAATACAAAAATCAAACTAAGAGAAAATGTAGAAAAAATAAATATACACACCAATTATTGTTTGTCATAGTAGGAATTCATTACAAAACCCCCCAGCATTCAATTTAAAGAAAAAAAAAAAAATACAGTTCCAAAGGTCATGGAGAAGGGTACAGCTTAGGGAAGAAGGGGATGAGCAGAATTTGCTGGCAGGAGCCAAGGCAGTTCCTGCAACCTGGTTGCACTGCTCACGCTTGGGTGTCTGATGCTCAAGCATCGTTCCAAAATTAATAAAGTGTCAGTAGCTTTATGAAAGAAAGCCTCAGGCTAGGAGATCGGGACAATTTTTCATGAGCAGGGCGATCTGGTAGGCTGTAGAGTTTTTAAGGAAATGAAGGAACTTGGAAGCTTGGTGCATTAACAAGTGGGCAGGAGAAACACCAAAGGATCTACTGAAGGAGGTGATTTTGAAAGGGGCAGGGTGATCTCACTGACTTTTGTATCTCGTCACATGGATCCTCTTTGAAGTTTTCACTGATGCTAACAACGCTTAATATCATAAAGTGATTTTGGAGCTGCCCAGCCAGCCACAAAAATTGTCCTCATCCTGCATCATTCAGAGAACAACCGCGCTACAGCAGTTAGCCAAGTTTGTCTTCCAGCCTGTCCTGGTTTCAGCTGGGACAGAGTTAATTTTCTTCCTAGCAGCTGGTATGGTGCTCTGTTTTGGATTTGGTACCAGAAGAATGTTGGTAACACCCTGATGGTTTAGTTGTTGCTGGGTAGTGCTTAGGCTGGCCAAGGACTTCTCAGCTCTCAGCTCTGCCAGGGGCACGAGAAGGTGGGAGGGGACACGGCCAGGACAGCTGACCCCAACTGGCCCAAGGGCTATTCCATACCATATGACGTCATGCTCAGTATATAAGCTGGGGGGAGAAGAAGGAAGGGGGGGATGTTGGGAGTGAAGGCGTTTGCCTTCCCAAGTCACCGTTACGTGGGATGGAGCCCCGGTGGCCT